ACTGCACCTGACACCCCCCCAACACTGCACCTGACACCCCCCCAACACCGCACCTGGCACCACACCTGACACCCCCACACACACACCGCACCTGGCACCATACCTGCCACTGCACCTGACACCCCACCTGACATTGTACCTGACACCCCCCCGACACTGCACCTGGCACCACGCCTGCCACTGCACCTGACACCCCCTGACATTGCACCTGACAACACACCTGACACCCCCCCAACACCATACCTGGCACCACGCCTGCCACTGCACCTGCCACCCCCCCGACACTGCACCTGACACGCCACCTGGCACCACGCCTGACACTGCACCTGACACCCGCCCCCGACACCGCACCTGGCACCACAGCTAACTTGTCAGGCTGTTCACCCTGTGGAGGAGTCTGAACCTGTCTGAATTTGACTCTACTGTGTGCAAAGCCTGGAGTAGCCTCCTTAGGACGTTGCAGAGGAAAAGGGACATGTGCGCAGCCTTCGAAAGGCTTCCTCTGCTTAGGTAGAGATGGTGTGTGATGGCCAGGAGAGCCCGTCATGGGTACGGGAGGTCTGGGAGGTTGGCAGGGTGTGGGGGTGATGGATTTTGGAACAGAGCTTCGTAGGCTATAGGTGAATGCTTTCGTTTATGTAAAATTGAAAAGAATTCTAATGTCATTTCAACCATAATACTCTACTCATTCACACTTAAAACCTACCATGTTTTGGTGAGGTCGTTTTAGCAACAAGTGATGGTCTCAGCTCCACTGATGGCTGTCCGCTCTTCCCACGTGGCCTGTGGCCTGTGGCCTGGCTCCATCCAACTCTGCAGTCTTGTCTCTACCGGGTCACCCTGTCCTGCAGGGCTCATGGCACTGGCTGCCCCTGAAGTGCCATCTTCCACCTTTGCCCCCGTGCCTGTCCCGAATTCCCATGCTCACTCCTGTTCCTGCCGTTCCTGAGGGAGGGGTTCTGTGTGGTCGTCCACCTGTCCCCAAACCTGAAAAGCAGGCTGCGCAAAGGCAGCCTCAGCGGGTGTCCATGGGATTAAACTTGTGAGTGACAGTGCTCACCTTGTCACAGAGCACTGCCTGCGCACGTCCTGAGTGCCTTTGGGAAGACCGCTCCTGTGCGGGCAGAACGTCCCTGGAAGCCTCCCGTCCTGCTGGGTCGAGGAGCTGGCCCCCCGGAGGCAGGCGCCTTCTCTCATCCTCCTGGTGGTCAGGCCACCACTCCCTCTCCAGCGGTGCACAGAGGACAGAGTGTCCGTTAGCAGCCACTGGTAGGTTCAAGGGCAGGCAGGGGGACGGAGAGTTTCGTCGGTGGGTTAGTTGTGCGCCAGAGGCAGATGGAGAGGTTGGCGACAGGGTATCTGGACCCCGGCGTGAGTCTGTGGTGGCTGGTGGCTTGCATGGCACTTGGAGGAGGCAGTGAGCGCTTGGCTGGACGGGGTGGGCTGGGCCTCGCGCCCAGCTGCGTCTGACATAGAAGGCCACCCTCTGGGCCCAAGTACCGCAGCCCCAGACCGCAGCCAGGGTCGACTGTGCCTTGTTGGTCGTGGATGTTCCAGAGACTTTGCCGGTCGCGCTCTTAGAGTCTGTGCTGTGAAATCTGCCCCACTGGCCGGTCCCTGGACTTCCTTTCACTTCTGCTTTGTCGCTGCAGTTACTGCTGGAGCCACAGGGTTGGGGTGTCCAGACGAGGAATGAGTTTGGCTCGGAGAGGAACACAAATGTCCCACGTGCGCATGTGCACACACACACTCAGAAGCCTGGGGCCACTCGCCTCAACGGCATGACGGCCTCACACTGCCAGGCTCAAGGAGCAGGTGGGCAGGGGCAGACATCCTCTTCTGGAAGCTTCCTCCTCCAGAGGGAGGGGCTCCCCTGATAGGCCGCTGCAGCCTCGCAGCCCCCTCTCCACCAAGTATGGCAGCCGGCGAGCTTGCAGGTCTGTAAAACCTGCTGCCCAGGTGTGCACCAGCGAGGGCTGCGCCCCTCAGACAGGAAGCCCTCTCTGGGTGATGACAAGGCCCCGTGTCCCTCCCTCCCCCCCCCCCCGCGTTCGGGTGCCAGGGGTGAGGGAGGGAGAGAGGTTCCTTGGGCAGCAGAAACCATTGGAGGGATGGAAGCGGCTCTGTGGGGTGGTGAGGCCTGCAGCCAAAACATGACCTCCACTTCCAGAGACATATTCAGTCAGCTTTGGTGAGGTCTGAGTGACCCTGAAACGTGCCCGTTTTAGGTTGAGGGGCGATGGGTGTGCAAGTGCGTGCAGTCACGCCGCCCCGGACTCCCGCTGCAGAGGTCTGCGTGTGAAAGCCTCCCGGGTCTTGGTGGAAGGCGGCTTGCTGCTGTTGTGGGGGGGTGTCCAAGCCGGCTGGGTGTGGGGGTGAGTGATGGGAGGCAGGCGCCGCATTCCCACCGTGGTCCTGCTGCTGGCTCCCCGTCCTTGCAAGACTGGCGTGAACCAGTTTCTTCTGACCGCCTCCGGTACCAGCAGAGTTTGCGGCTGTGCGTTTGTCCTCAGCCAATTGGAAATCACCTGGAGTTTTATTCCAAGCACAAAAGAAGGTCAGAGAGAGGAGGCCTGATGGTGGCGATTGCCTGTGCCCCCCACTTCCTGGACCTGGGCTGGGTGGGGCCCCTGCAGCTTTTGTCTCTGGCTGTGCCCTCTGCCTCTGCTGAGAGGCCTTTCGTGTCTGCATTTCCTCGGCAGGGTGGGCGGGTGAGCGATGGTGTTTACATGAGGGCTGCCCGCTGACCCATGTCCCTGCAGCCGTCCCCATGGCCTGGCCGTCCAGTGCTCTGGGTGGCATGCTGTTGGCTTTTGCCTCATTGCCGCCTCCGAGGGGCTCCTTCTGGGCCAGGCCCTCAGTCACTGGAGGCCTGGACGGAGGCCAGCGAGAGCCCTGGGCCAGAGCCCCACCCCAGATGCAGGGGCTCACTCGGACATGCTGGAAAAACTCCACAAGGTCAGAAGTATGTGGGGGGTCCGGTGTGTTAGCTCCTTGTGTCCTTGTAGTGAAGCAGGTGGGAGCAGAGAGGCAGCGTTCCCTTCCCTAAGGAGTCGATACTCAGGTGGCCTCTCTTTCCCTCCCAAAATGAAGGCAGCTGTCTTCCCTCGTGAACACGCTGCCTTTCACCCATGTCGGAGGAGGGCCAGAGAGTTGGCGGCACCAGTTTGAGGGGTGAAGGGTGACGGGATGGCCTGGGCCCCCGAGTCCTGGATTGCAGAGGGTGCCCCAGCTATCAGTTTTCGTGGCACAAGGGGCTTTATGTCGGTGTTAAGGCAGGTGCCAGGAGAGAGCCCCACATCCTGTCTACCATCAGCTGACACGCTAAAAATTAACCAGAAAGATAGAAACAGTAAAACCTGGACTAATGAGTTAAAACATTTTAAAATTGTTATTGAGACACAAAATCACATGAAGTGTACAACTCCATGTTGGATGGTCATCCCGCTAATGGTTTGATTTTTAAAAATTATGTTTTCTGAACACACAAGGAATATGTTCTTATTGTAGAATGATTTAAACGTTCTGCAAAGCTTCCTCCAAAGCAGTTGTAGGGAGAGGCCAGACTGCTCCACGTGACACAATGCGCCAGGCCTGCGCTGGTGACAAGCCTGTGACGGGTCAGTCGGGGCCCCAAACAGCCCTGAGCAGAGCCTGTCTGAGAAAGCCAGAAGACCATGAGGACCCACGCCATGGCGTTAGTCCACACATGGGCCACCCGTGCGATGCCCCCCGAGCCCCGGCCGAGCTCCTCGGGACGGCGTTCCGGTAGCTCCTCCTGGGATGGTGAGCACAGAAGTCCAACGGTGTTTGTCATGGGTCTCAGTCTGCTTACTACAGGAAGATCCTCAGACGCTGAGGAAGGACGACATTTTTGTGTGTCTGAACTTGCTGGTTTTCAATAGTGTTCTTTTTTCCAAAGGAATGTTACTAAGCCTTCATTTCTCTGAGCTCAGAAATATGTTTTTTTGGAAACCTTACATCTTTGCTTGAGGTGATAAATTGTCACAGTTCATGGTATCTCTGTAAATTGCAAATGGAATCTTTCAAGCACAGAATACTGAGAACAGAAGGTCAGAAGGAAACGAGATCGTTCGTGTTAGCACAGAGGAAATCACAAGCAGCGGTAACGCCAGTGAAGTTCTTGCTGCCCACAGACTACGTTCTGAGAGTCTTTAGCCACGTGATTCGATCTCTGCAACAGACCTGCGAGGGTTACACACGGGTGTCCTCCCTCCTCTTACAGGTGACAGAGCACAGAAAGTTGGGTGACTCCCCATGTATCGGAGCTGAGATCCCAAGTTCAGTCTCTGAGCCCGCACCCCCGCGTCTCCTAAGTGGCCCTCCTGAATTACGGACAAGGCTGTTTCTCTAGCAGTCAGTGAAGGAGCATGGCAGGCTTCCAGATACGAGCCCTGGGCTCCTTACAAGGGCCTCAATTCCATCTTGCACCTGGGAACACAAGCATGAGCAAGGCCAGCCCGGGCCCCCCAAGACTGTGCCCAGCCTCTGGGTCTGGAGAGACACTTGGAATGCTCGGCCCCCCTCAGGTGGTCCCGTCGGCGCAGCTGCAGACAAGGGCCAGGAGCACTGGTCTTCCAGATAACTGGGCCGGGGCCAGATGGGGCGGGAAGGCCTCTGTTTACCTGCCTCCCAGGCCGCCTGCCACGGAAGCAGTTGGCGTGTCACTGGAGTGCCGCAGAGCTGCACAACCTTGGGCCTTCGGGGTTTTGATGGAAGGGCAGCCTTATATCATCTGCGTCTTAGGGGTGGGGGGGTGAGAGGGGGCATCCCGGGGGAATAATGGAAGCAGGGCCCCACCCTTCTGGGGTGGAATCGGGCTGTCCAGCGTAGGAGCAAGTCGGCCCCACCAGCCTGCTGGTGGGTGAATATAACCGGGACGTGACTTGCCTGCCAAGAACACTGTTCTTTGGGGCTAAAAATGAGTCCTACATCCTAGGCGAGCCATGGGGTAATGCGAATTCCTTCTTTGTCTTTAGTCATGGGACATTTTTTTCCGCAACACCAATGCTGGAGCGCCGCCGGGCACCGCCTACCAAAGCCCGCTCCCCCTGAGCCCGGGCTCCCTGTCTGCCATGGCGCGAGCACAGCCCCTGGTGGACGCCCAGCCCAACGTGGACAAGCTGGTGGAGGACCACCTGGCAGTGCAGTCTCTCATCAGAGCCTACCAGGTAAGGCCCACCCACCGGCCGGCGGTACATCAGTAACGGAGGGTGCCCCAAGTGACTTGTCTTGGAACCAGGCACCTCTCCCTGCCCGGGAGCCTGGGGAGGCAAACACGAAATATGCCAGGAGCAGAAGAGCCAGGACAGACAGTCTGACCCTGCTTGAGCACATCCTTGCTGCCTGTAGCACCTGCCCTGTAAATGGCTCCTATTTCTTTCCACAAGTTGACAAGAAAAACTGGTGGGCAGGGAAAAGCAGTCCTTGCTGGGCTGTCAAGGGGACTGCTGATAACCAGGAGGGAGCAGTGACCGGAAGGGGTGCGCCCCCTTCTCAGTCGCCAGCACCCACGTACGACAAGAGGAAATGAACCTGTAGAGTTTGGGACAGAAGCAGAGCCCATGGGTGCATGAGAGGTGGGTGAGGGGCAGGGCGGTCTCCAAGAGCCTTCCAGGTAGCAGTCCATGCCATCAGAGGCTGTTGGGCAGGACACGTGGAGCTCCCCCCACCTTTCTCCACCTGGCAGGGAAGAGCCCAGAATTCAGACCGGAACACCTGTTCTGAGAGTAGCTCTGAGGACAGGAGAAGAAATCAGGCCTGGGGGGAGTCCTTTCCAGGGTCCCTAGGCACCTGGGCTCCCCTGCCGCTGCCTCTTCCATGGACCACATGGAGTTCTTGTCTCTCCTGGGTACGTTTCCAGGAGACGCCACGGGTCGGGACAGCAGGTCCTGGTGAGTGGACAGACGCTCCGAGCCATGTGGCCGGCATGGCCGTGTGCTCTGGAGCATTGTTCAGTGGGCATTTCTGGAGGAAGGAGGTGCATTTGGTGTGTTCTGACTGTTGCCTGCCTCGTGTAGCCTCAGTAGCTTCACGCAGTTGCAGGTCCCCCTTGGCAGCCACCCCCTCTCAAACTGCTAGCAAACAGTCGTGGATCAGGTAGCCAAGACTTGAAGTTGGGAGGGATTGTCTTCCTCCTTTGGCTTCTTAGGCAGTTCAGATCAGAGACCGAAGCCCTAGCGCCCTTCGGCGGGGCCTGGGCTCCCCTTCTTGGGGCACTAACGTGCTGAGGTGCACGGCCCCACGCAGGCACAACCACGTCCCACTTCATTTACGAGGGGAACTGCAAGGGTCCCCAGAACTGCCAAGTTTACTGTGACCCGAGTTTATCTCTTTTTATAAGCACAAGAGCACTTTCACGATAAAATATTTGAAGGCTTTTTTTTTTTAACGAATTTTGTTACTTTGGGTTCAAGTTTGACCGAGTGTAACTTTTCCCCCCCACAGCCCGCGGGTCTTGCTTAACGACTGCTTGTGTTATTGCTTCCAGGTCAGGGGTCACCACATTGCAAAACTTGATCCTCTCGGAATTAGTTGTGTAAATTTTGATGATGCTCCGGTAACTGTTTCTTCAAACGTGGGTGAGGATTAATCTGTAAATGCTAATTTTAATGTAATTTTACTTTTTTTTACCCCTTCCCTCTTTTTTTTCTCCTGTCCTTTTGTGTGTGTCCCCCTCCCTCGCTGGCCCGTCCGTAGATACGAGGGCACCATGTAGCGCAGCTGGACCCCCTGGGGATTTTGGACGCCGATCTGGACTCGTCCGTGCCCGCTGACATTATCTCCTCCACAGACAAACTTGGTGAGGGTCTGGGAGCGGCCAGCGCTGCGCTGCTTAGCTGCTCTGCGTCACAGCTGTGGCGGCCAGGACGTCCTCAGACGGAGGGGAGAGGCTCTTAAGTTTCCTTCGTTCTGATCACTTGAAATTTAGCATGTTTGGGGCAAGTTACTTTTATCCCAGCTTTTCAGCCAGACTCCATGAGCTCAATTGTCTGAGTCTCAAAATTGGAGAGTAAAATTTGGGGCAGACAAGGTTTGTGGCACCGAGGAAAAGATGACCTCCCGGGCAGGGGGGTCACCTGACATGCCAGACGCCGGCTCTGCTGGCTTGGTTTCCAAGTCCTGGTTCAGCATAGCCTCCGCCCGACAACGCGGCCTCACTGCGCGCTGGGCTCCTTGGCACACAGCACGGCCTGCCTTTAACGGGCGGGTTCCAGAGCGCGCTGTGCACTGGGTGTTGATTCCTAAACGCTGGTGATCACACTGAGGAAGGAAACTTTGGAAGGCACCCCGGCGTGCGGGGAGGTGCGTGGCGCTCAGGCAGTTGCTGTCACGCGTCCCTGCTCCCTCCTCTGCCGCCAGGAAGCACACACAGGGGCGCGGCTGGGCTCACCCTGCAGTTGCTTTCTCAAGTTAATCTGCTCTCAGTCACCGTGCCGCTAACCTGTGCTGAGATGACTGATCCGGAAATGACCAGGTGCCCACCGGACGCACTGTGCATGCTAATAAAACTCACGATTGCCTCCCTGCCCTAATACTGCTCTCCGGGAGGGGATGGAACTCACCTCCTCGAGCAGTGGTCTCTAACCCTCTGTGATGCCCCAGCACTCTGTAGGCACCCCTGGGCTGTGGCGTGGGTGGTCAGCCTTGAGCCAGGTAAGGCGAGGTTTCTGATGGCATCGGCTCCAAGGTCCATGTTAGCTAGCAGTCTGTCACCACTGTCTTCACTGGAGAAAGACCCCCCACTGCTGGGGGGTCCAGGGCTGCTTCCCCTCTCCTTCTCCCACGCAGCCCCAGCGGCACCCCGCCCCACACAGCCTGTGCTCACCTGTCCTGAAGCCCCTCGGTGGCTCCCCCAGGTGTTGAAGTCCTGGGGCCTCTCTCCAGAGAGGGGTGAGGGCCTCTGACACCGTGAGGCATTCCAACAGGAAAGGGGGCACAGGAGGTAGGGGGCACCCTCTCCCGCCCCAAACTACATCACCCTGTGGCTCATTCATGGTCGTCAGTTTCTTGGTATTAAAATGGGTGTTTTTTGGTGGTTCTCCGCTCTTCATTCGAACTTCGGGGGGTGGGGAGATGTAAAGCTGTGCTCGGTCCCACGTGAGACTGGTAAGGCAGGACAGAGCCGCAGCCTGCAGGCACCAGCAAATGTTGCTTAGAGGTCCCCCGACAGTCCCAGCCCGGCTGGTCCGTGCAGGGACACTCCAGTGTCCCTGTCCCGGCGCTGGTCGAGGGCAGATGCAGAGGTGGGGGCAGGGCCTCTGTCATTCTTCCCAGTTTGCTCCCGGCCACCGTGGCCTCACCCTACATTCCCCCCTAGAGTAGTGCCCCGAAAGTTTGTGATGCACGAGGAGAGCCACACAGATGTGGCCCCAGAGCCCCCCGGGCTCTTTTGAGGAAGAGATGCTGCCTCCCCTGGCCAGGAGCCCTTCAGAACCACCAGGACCAAGTCGGGGAGCAATCCCCTGCTTTGTAGAGGAAAGTGCATTTTCATCTTGAGAATTTGAAATAGTTGTGATGAATTCTTTCTCTGGGTGCAAAAAGCAGAAATAGTGAATCTGCAGGAAAGTTAGTTTGGAATTGTATCACCTTTGGTGCGTGCAGGTCTTCTGGAAAACAGCCGGTCCAGCCCAACTGCTGCTCATGGACCTGGACACTTCTGGGTACTTCCATGCCCCTCGCTTCCTCTGGGCCACGGGCCTGGCCTCAGAGTTAGCTCCCCGGGCGGGAGCCCTGGCTCAGCCAGGACCAGCCGTGTGTCTGCACCTCCTCATCTGTAAGGCAGCTTCAGAATTAAATAAACTCCTTAGAACAGTGCCTGGAGCTTCCTAAGCTCCACGAAGCTGTGAGCTAGTGCAATTGTTGACAATCTTTCGAGCTAGGTCGCTGCTAGGCTCTCTGGTAATGAGGTAAACTCAAGAAACCGAGGGACGGAGCACGCAGCCTGGGGTCACACCAGAGCTGATCGTGGTGAGGGAGCCCTGGAGCTGGGGCCGGAGCAGGGTGGCCTGCGTGTTCTGTGTGGAGCCTGCGTCCTTCTTGTGCCTCCTCTGGGCTGACCTCCCCTTTCTCCCTGTGGATGCAGGCAGTTTCTCCATCCCCTTGTGGGGAACCCAGGTTCGGGAGATGCTCGCTCCCCACACGTCTGAGAGCACGCTGTAGTGCTGGGGAAGCAGGTGGGTGGAGGGGCAGCGGTGGTCAGGCGTGAGCCCAGGGGGCAGCAGGCTATCTCCGAGGGCCACTGATGCTGGTCTGCCGCGCGAGCAGGGCTATGTCCGCTCCTAGTTTTTTAAATAAAGTAGATTGTGTGAAATAATTTCCATTAAGCTCTTGACCTTTGACTGGTTTGGAAGGTTGGGAATTGTGGGCCTAGGGTCCCTACCCTGATGTTACATGCATTCTCCTGGTCCCCAAAGTGACGGGTGGAGAGAATTCACGGGCAGGCTCTTACCTGTCACAGGAGACTCGGCGGGCGTGCAGGGCTCCTGGGTGGTCAGGATGCTGGGGTTACCAGCAGATGTGGCACACACACAGAACATACTGCCTTCCACCAGTGCAGCAGAAACATTGTTGAGGAGTGATGATGGTAATTAAGATTTTAAATTTAAACGAAGGTCAGTACAGTTTTTCAACTGGTCCATAATTGGGTGGATGATTATTAGCCACAGGGTACCTTTCCCCAGAATGTGTTTTGTCAGGAGCCAGGTTCCAGGTAGGCCCCAGGAATGCATCCTCATCTGTACCCGGTTGCCCCGTCAAACCCACGCCCGTGGACGAGGGTCGGGAGCACTGACATGAGACGCCCAGGTGCATGTTCCACCTTGAATCCCTCAGGAGGTCCGGACAGGATCAGGTTTCCTAGGAAGGCCTTTCTGGTTGGCCCTAAATTAGGGTTAGGGTGTGACTATCAACGGAAAGGTCCAGACAGGGAGTCCTGCAGGGTCAGGGTCATTGCTGTCTTCACTACAAACAAACTGGGTGTAGCCACACCTCTGTCCTGTGTGGGCATGCAGCGCTGGCTTTGTTCGGGTGGGGAGGGAACTGAGCCACCCTCGGCTGGTCTGGGATGCGCAGAAAGGTCCCACTGACCTGCCTTCTGTGTCTTGCTTTCACGTGCAGTGTGTGAATTAGACTCCAGCTTTGATGTGCCGGCGCCTCTGGGTCTGTGTAGATGTGTTCCGTGATTGCTCACGGGGACAGAGGTGACAGACATTTACTGCGATGTGAGGTTGAAACGTAATTACAGGGGAACTTGAAACCCATTCTGTAGATCACAGGGAGGAAACCATGACGCTTCTCTTGTTTGCCGTTGGTGTTTGCACACCGCCCGTCTCAGGAAATGAGCTTGAGCTGAGGTCTTGCGGGCTTAACTCCAGACCAGCACAGGAGAGCCAGCGCAGCCATAAAGCGAGCTCTTTGGTTCCCTGTGCGCCCAAGAGCAAGGTCTGCACCGTGGCCGAGCAAGTGTGCAATAGCCACACTGTGTCAGAGCAAAGACAGCGTGCACACCGTCCCACCAACTGCCCTCTGAGCTGTCAGGGGTCAGCACATCACAGCACCGTGCAGGTAGGATAAGAGTGAAAAGTTTGGAATATGGTGAGAATTACCAAAATGCAATGCAGAGACAGGAAGTGAGCAAATACTGTTGGGGAAATGGGGCCCGTGGGTGTACTAGGTACAGGGCTGCCACAAAGTTGTAAATTCCTAAAATTTATGAAAGAAAGAAAGAAAAACACAAAAAACTCAGTATCTGTGAAGTGTGATCAGACAAGGTGTGCCTGTAGTTAAAAAGCCAAATCAGAAGTCCAAAATGGCAACACTTTGACCGTGTCAGTGGGCTAGCTCATTCCGGCGGGGCCAGGACTGGGGTCTCGCTGCCAGCCTCTTGACCTTCTAGAGCACTCCGTGCCCACCACGGCCACTTTTGCTCCCCCGACATCTGGGGAGGATAACTAAAACAGAGTTGATCTTTAGTCAGCTTTCGTAGTTTCAGAGCAACACAGAGCAGTTCACTTGACACCTGTGGGCTGCCGTGTGCGGCCATGAGTGAAGAGCTGGGGGTCGGGCTCACACCGAGCCAAGGTCGCAGGGGTCATGCCGTGCAAAGGTGTCCTCCCGGACGCCCAGGCAGGCCGGGGGGCACTGTGGCCGAATCCCAGCCGCTCCGTGTCTCCAGCAGGGTCATGTGCTCATCAGGGAGTAACGTGTGGGTTGCAGGGACCCCCGTGTGCTCTCTGCAGATGATACAACACCGGCTGTTCGTGTCTTCTGTTAAATCTGCCAGGAAGTACAGATAAGAATGCCAGCATCCACAGAACCAGTACCCGGAATGAACAGATGTCAGCATTTGAAGACATTCCACATGTCACCTATAGAGTTTCTAAAGATAGGGCACGCTTGCAGTTCGCTGTTGGGGCAGGGCATGGTCCTCTGTCTCGATTCTGAGGATTGCAGGAGAAAAAGGAAGATTCTTTCTTCTTGCCCGTAAGCAAGGCGTCCACACTTCTGTGAGGAACTTGGATGATCTGTTGTCTTAAGAGCCACCGGCTCTATGGTCTTTGCTGGGTGCTGCTGTCCCCACGGGCAAGGAGTAGGGCTTGCCCACCCCAAGCAGGGGGCCCTGCCTCCTCTGACTCGAGTTTTTGCTCTCCACCTCCAAGGCAGCGTCCGCTGGCCTTCCTCTGCACTGCCGGGCAGGGAGCAGCTGCGGTGACCGTGAGCACGCCCCCACCACTCAGCTGCCTGCCCTTGTGTGCCCTGCCGCCACAACCCTCCCAGACCCCGGCCCCCGGGGGACCAGGG